CCTCAGCACCACATAAGCAAAAAGAAAAAAGCCGGAAGTGGCGCTGTGGCTCAAGTGGTAGAGTGCTAACCTTGAGCTGAAGAGCTGAGGGATAGTGCCCAGGCCCAGAGTTCAGACCCCACAACTGGACCCCAAAAAAAAAAGGGGGGGATACATGTGGATCCATTGCAACGATGAAATGTACAAGTCGTTTTGTGGAAAAACAAACTTTACAACTTTGGGGGGGAGGATTGGGGGGGACGAAGTGGGGGAGGATGGGAAGGGATGGGAAGGGGAAACAAAGGAGGCTACAATGCTTAATAAGAAATGTACTCATTATCTTGCCCACGTAATTGTAACCCCTCTGTACAGTATTTTCACAATAAAAATTTTTTTAAAAAGTCTGAGATCTGAGGATCCCTGTTGCAAGTCAACCAAGGCAGGAAAGTCCATAAACTTCTTATCTCCAATGAAGCACCAAAAACCTGAAAGTACAGTTGTGGCTCAAGTGGTAGAATGCCAGCTGAGCAAAAAAAAAAAAAAGCTCAGGGACAGTACCCAGTCCTTGAGCTCCAAGACCAGACATCCTCCCCGATCCCCCACCCCCACCCCCGCTGCCAACATACACATACAAAAAGCCAGGTGCCAGTGGCTCATGGCTATAATCCTAGATACAGGAGGCTGAGATCTGAGGATCACAGTTCAAAGTGAGCACAGGCAGGAAATTCTGTGAGACAATAAACCACCAAAAAGCCAAAAGTGAAAGTGTGACCAAGTGGCAAAGCACTAGCACTGAGCAAAATTTCTCAGGGACATTGCCAAGAATCTGAGTTCAGGGCTGGGAAGGTGGCTCAGTGGTAAAGCACTTGCCTTGCATGCATGAGGCCTTGGGTTCAATTCCTCAGCACCACATGAACAAAAAGAAAAAAGCCGGAAATGGCGCTGTGGCTCAAGTGGTAGAGCGCTAGCCTTGAGCTGAAGAGCTGAGGGACAGCACCCAGGCCCAGAGTTCAGGCCCCACGACCGGACCCAAAAAAAAAAAGAAAGAAAATCAAACATTGCTGTGTGACAGGAACTATTAAGAATTCATACTGAGACTTTCAAGACTGAAAGGGAACAATATAAACTGTCACTATCAAGAGTCTACCCCACATTCTATGTTAGGTTTACCCCTGAGTAACTCAGGGGTAAGTTTTTTTGCCAGACTTGGGGCTTGAACTCAGGGCCTGAGCACTGTCCCCTTCTTTTGCTCAAGGCTAGGACTCACTTGAGCTACATCACCTCTTCTATATTTTTTTGTTTATATGGTGCTGAGGAATCAAACCCAGGGCTTTTCATGCATGCTAGCTAGGCAAGCACTAAGCCCTCCTAGGCTCATTCTTCAAGAGAAAAAGAAGAAAAAGAAAAAAGGAGGCACAGGAGAAGGGGGAGGGGGGTGGAGGGGAGAGAAGGAAGGAAGGAAGGAAGGAAGGAAGAAAGAAAGAAAGGGAGGGAGGGAGGGAGGGAGGGAGGTTAGTTTAAGTAGAATTCAAGGAAGTTTTAGTAGTCTTACTTCTACTAACAATGGCAAGAATAAAAGACTGGATGAAATGAGAAGATTTCAAAAATTAAGGTTTTATACCTACTAAGCTCAGTTAAGACATAAATGCTAGAAACTCAGTTACAAAACTTTTCTGCACAGATAAGACCAACTGTATTGAAATGGGCCCTAAACAGTTTACAAAAGCAGCAGCCTGCTCTTTGCCCCCTCAATTTTACTGGCTTTAATTCTTTTCTTTCATAGGCATTGTTCACCAGTCCTTAAGATTTCAGCTTCAACAAAAACATTAGTAGTAATTACATACAAAACAAGAACCAAGTTAGTCATTCAGAATTTTATTTCCGGCCTCTGGGGCTTGAACTCAGAGCCTGAGTGCAAGTCCTTGAGCTTTTTAGCATGGGGCTAATGCTCTACCACTTGACACAGCTCCACTTCCAGCTTTTTTGGTTATTAACTGGAGATAAGACTCTCACAGATTTTCTTGCCCTAACTAGTTTCAAACAGCAATCCTTTTTAGCCTCCTGAATAGCCATGATTATAGGTGTGAGCCATTGGTACCAAGCCAGAATATTTTGTTTTTAAAAAATAGCATCTCATGCTAAATCCAAAATGTTAGGTGATACGACAAAACTAACAGGACTTAAGAAACAAAGAACTCCTGCTCATCTGGTTGAACCACTACTAAATATCCCCATGCTGCTGATCACATGTATGGTGTATAACATGTGAACACTGTTATATATTACAGACTGTGATAGACAATTTGCTCCA